GCCCCAAGACTCCTCCAAGACGGCTCACGAGGGCTCCGAGGCGCCAAACGAGCGCTCCCAGACGCCCAAGATGCCACCAAGACGAGCCTAGAGGCCTCCAAGACGGCCCAAGAGGCCTCCAAGAGCAGTCCTCACAAGGGCCGAAGCGCCGAAAATCGTCAAATTCCTATGGGAAAACGTACATTGTGATCATATACTACTTGTCGGCCTTCACGGCGTTGACGACGGTCCCAGAGCGCCCCAAGACCGCCCCGGGAGGCCCCCAAGAGGCGCCCAAGTCGGCCCAAGAGGGCGCCAAGACGGCCCAAGAGGCCCCCAAGACAGCCCAAGAGGGCCCCATGACGGCCCCAAGAGGTGCCCAAGAGGGGGAGCCCGAACCGACAATCCGAGCCTTCCGCCCCAAGGCGGCCCCAGAAGGCCCCAAGAGGCTCCCAAGACGCCCACAAGAGGCCCCAAGAGGCCCCCAAGAGGCTCCAAAACGGCCTCACAACGGCCCCCAAGAGGCTTCGAAACTGCCTCCAAGAGTCCCGCGAGAAGCCCCCCAAGAGATCCCAACGATCACCGCACAAGTCTCATATCAACAACCCAGGCACGGTGGCGGGGTTGCGTTTGCGCACAAAAAAGGATTCGCGCTCTCGAGGCCAAGATTGCTCCAAAACGGCCCAGGATGGCTCCAAAACGGCCCAAGATGGCTCCAAGACGGCCCAAGACAGTTCGAAGACGGCCCAAGATGGCCTCAAGATGGCCTAAAAGGCTTTCACTATCGCCCACGAAGTCTCCAAGAAGACCCCCAAGACATCTGAAAGAGGCGCACATTACGCATTTCATTACATTTCCATTGCGTTGTTGAACATGTTTGCACTTGTTGCCTTTCCCGGCTTCCGTCGGCTCACGTAGCCCCAAGAGCCTCCAAGATCGCCCCACGGCGCCCCAAGAGGGCCTCAAGACGGCCCCAGAGAATCCTAACACGGCCCTGGACGCCTCCCAATTCGGCCTAAGACGACCCCAAGACGGCAAAACCTGCCTCCAAATTGGTCCCAAGCTGGTGCAAGACGCCTCTGACCCAAAACCCATAACCCAGAGCCTTGTTTCTGTGTCCCCTTCCTCCTTCTCCTCCTCCTCCTCCTCCTCCACCTCGGCCGCCAGGCGGGTTCAAAACTGCTTCCCAGAGGTCCCCGAGAAGCGTGCCGCGAGATCCCTATACACATACAAAAAGCCTCTAACTCATAGCACATATCCCAGACTTTCGTCTCTGTGTCCCCGTCCTCCTCCCCCTCTCCTCCTCCTCTTCCACCTCCTCCTCGCCCACTCCTCCTCTTCCTCCCCCGCCTCATCCTTTTCCTCCCCGATTCTTCTCCCCCCATCCTCCGCCTCACCCCCCATCCCTCTCTCCCCCTCCCCCCTGTCCTCCCCCGCACGCGCGCCCCCGATTGGGCATCATTTGCAGGTCTTGCATATCAGGGTGCCCTTTTTTTTGCATCGCGTGCGACGTTGGAGGGGTCCCCGGAGAACGCCGACTTCGGTGGTCTTCTCTTGCACGCGCCGCCGCACTGTACGCCTGGCAACTGCGGGCTGTGAACCCGAGGTTCTTGCAGCCTCCGCACACCACTTTCGCTCCTTTCGCCGCTCGATGATCTTCCACTTGCTCATGCTTCAAATGTTTCGTGTCCGAGAACGCTTCTCCGCACGCCGCGCGCGTCAGTGGCTTCGCGTCTGCCTCGGCTTTCCGCTTGCGATTCGCTGCCTCCACATTCCCCCGTCGCACCTCTTTCTCTCGTTCTTCCGCGCATTTCCGACAGAGCCTTTCCCCCGCAGCATTGTGCTTCTTCTGAGTTTCCGACATATCCGCCTTTTCGTCATATAGCGACAGGCGCTTACCGTTCGTACATCGCACTGCTCCGACGCTATGATTCCACTTCGCGCTGTCTTTCCGCGAGTTCTGCTTGGCTTTGACACCGCTGCACTTCGCGCAGTACATGCCACCGCGGAGGCCCGCAGTCAGGTAAAACATAGAATCCCTTGAGACAGTGATGGCGACAACGACGACAATGATTATGACGAGGATGATACCGATGATGATGATGCTTAGCATGGTGATGATGGTGGTGATGATGATGATGATGATGATGATGATGATGGTGACGGTAATGATGATGATGGTGGCGATGGCCTCGGGCTCGCAACGTGCCTGGACCTAGCAATGCGAAACAAACCGCGAACACCTTCTCGGTTCCCAAGCGTGTGAGACTCGTCTCCTCCACAGCCCCGGGGTTCCCCGTGCGGGCTCAGGGATGCCCCAAAAAACAACCCCGCTTCACCAAAGAAGTCAAACCCAGCAAGAAATAGACGGGCCCCACTCCAACGCTTCCACCCTTTGGGCATCTCCAGAACGATGCCAATATTGCATTAGCGTGCTTTCTTTTCCGATGGGCCCCCCAGGGCCTCGAGATGACCCCAGGCGGATTCCACATGGCCCCAAGAGAGGTCATTATGGACCCCTACACGACTCTCCAGCCCGATTCAAGCGAGCCGGCAAGACCGCCAAGATGAGGGGTCGGCGGATGTGGCGTAAGCCTATAGAATCATAATACGACTACTGCTACTACTGCTACCACTGCTGCTGCCACTACTACTACAACTGCTACTGCTACTGCTACTACTACTACTACTACTACTACTACTACTTAAAAATACGACGCCGACAACTTCCACGATGATTGGTGCGACTACGACTGTTACTGTCATCGCTCATGCTCCTGCAACTACGCCTAAGACCACTACGACGACTACTACAACTACGACTTGCACTACTACCACGGCGACTCCTACTGCTACTACGAAAACTGCTACTACCGCTGCAATGTAACATTGGTAGCACTTTTCGCAAATACGACTACTGTTGCTGCAACCACTACGCTTATTACTGTTATTACTACTGCTACTACTACTACTACTACTGCTACTACTACTACTACTACCACTGCTCCTGCTACGACTACGAGTACTACTACTGCTACTACTACAACAAACCCTACTGATACTAATACTACTTAAAACAACGACGACGCCTTCAATTTCTACTACGGCTACTACCACTACTACTACTACTACTACTGCTGCTACTACTACTACTACTACGACGACGACGACGACGACGACGACTACTACTACTACTACTACTACTACGACTACTACGACTACTACGACGACGACTACTACTACTACTACTACTACTACTACTATTACTACTACCACAACAACAACTACTACTACTACTACTATTACTACTACTACTACTACTACTACTACTACTACTACTACTACTACGGCTAAGGCTACGGCTGCTACCCCTGCGGCTGCGACTACTACTACGACTACAACTGCTGCTGCTGCGGCTGCTACTGCCACTACTACGGCTACGGCTACTACTACGACGGCAACGACGCTTACGACTGCGCCACTACTAGTGCTAGCACGTCTACCCCCAGGGTGCAAGTACTATTGGGACTACCTCTGTTACTACTACCACTACTACGACCACGGCGGCTATAACGACTACTGCTACTATGACTATTACTACTACCACTACTACTACTACTACTACTACTACTACTACTACTACTACTACTACTACTACTGCTACTATTACAACTCCTGCTGCTACAACCACTGCGGCTACGACTACGACTACTACTACTACTACTACTACTACTACTACTACTACTACTACTACTACTGCTACTGCTACTGCTACTACTACTACTACTATTACCACGACTACTACTACTACTACTACTACTACTACTACTACTACTACTAGTACTAATACTACCACTACTACTACTACTACTTCTACTACTACTACTACTACTACTACTACTACTGCTACTACTGCTATTACTACCACGGCTACGACTGCTACGACCACGGCGACCACTTCCACTACCACTACCAAAACTACTACTACAACTACTACTACTACTAATCGTAATACTACTAATACTACTACTTCTATTACCGCTACCACTGAGACTAATACTGCCACTACTACGGCTGTCACTACTACCACTATTACTACTACTACTACTACTACGACTACTACTACTACTACTACCACCACCACTACCACTACCACTACTACTACTACTACTACTACTACTACTACTACTACTACTACTACTACCACTACTACGACCACTACCACTACCACTACCACTACCTCTATTACTACTACTACTACTACTACTACTACGACTAGGACTACGACTACGACTACTACTACGACTACTACGACTACTACTACTACTACTACTACTACTACTACTACTACTACTACTACTTCTACTACCACTACTACCACTACTACCACTACTACCACTACTACCACTACTACCACTACTGCCACTACTGCCACCACTACTACTACTACTACTACTACTACTACTACTACGACTAGGACTACGACTACGACTACTACTACGACTACTACTACTACTACTACTACTACTACTACTACTACTACTACTACTACTACTACTACTTCTACTACCACTACTACCACTACTACCACTACTACCACTATTACCACTACTACCACTACTGCCACTACTGCCACCACTACTACTACTACTACTACTACTACTACTGCTACTACTACTGCTAGTGCTACTACTACTACTACTACTACTACTACTACTACTACTACTACTACTACTACCACTACCACTACTACTACTACTACTACTACTACTACTACTACTACTACTACTACTACTACTACTACTACTACTACTACGACTACTACTACGACGACGACTACTACTAATACTACTACTTCTGCTGCTGCGGCTGCTACTACAGGTGCTGCTGCTACGACTGCGGAGCACACGCAATCTACACCTATGCCGTGTTGTTCGTTTGCACCTGCCTTGTTTCCCCAAACAATCCTTGCAGAAATGGATTCGAGCTCGATTGCACCACATCTCGTGCACCACATCGGCTGCAGCAGTGGACAACCTTGTTCGCACCACAAAAACAAAAAATCGAGACTTCAACCATCTACTGCTTGGGATCCTCGCTGGCAGACATACTCGGTAAAACCAAAAGAGCCAGCAACGACCAGCGCGCCATATGCTGTTTTGTGCAGGATGGTCCTGTGGCATACGCTGATTCTCGAGGCGTCAAAGCTGCAGGCTATACACAGACTTCGTAAGGAGGCGGGGGGGATAGCCCGCATGTCCGAACGCAACAGCAGCCGTCAAGCAACTGACGATATCTCTTGAGACGCGCACCGAGGACAGGCACTGCAATCAACATCTAATGGCTCCCACTTTCGGGCCACAAACCAAGGCCTGATATACGCACGAAACAAAGCTGACCTGCACCGCGCCGCCTGGGTAACGCAGTCCCTGGCCCGAACACAACTGGCGCGGCTCATGGCGCAGGCAGAGGCTTCTGTATGCCTGCGGAGCCTCTAGACAAGAGCCTCGCCTCTAGAGTGACTGTCGGCATGGCATCGTCGCCAATCGTGACCGAATGGGGAGCACCTTTGTCTCCAGGGGCCCATGACGAGTCCCGTCTCCATGCTTGGATCGTCGCGGACGAGCGCTCATGTTGGATCTCACTGTTGCCTGGGTCCGGTTGCGAGCCCCGACGCGCAGCTACAAGGGAGCGCTTGCTAGCCGCACTGCCATCAAGGGTAGTCGCTGGAGTGCCGACAGCGGCTGTGCCTGTATCCACGACAGGGCCGAGGGCGGCGTTCGCCTTTGCCGGCGACTCCGGCTCGCACTCAGGGGTCCCGCCGCCCACGTCGCAGTAGCGGCACACCTGCGACGTGCCGCCCGCGTTGCAGCCGGGGCCCGCGAAGACCAGGCAGGTGGGGTCGGCGAAACACATCGTCCCCGGGTCGCCGCCGCAGCTGTTAGACGGCGTGTCCCCGCACGGGGGCGGGTGCACGAGGTCGGGGTCCTCAGGGAGGGGCGTCGAAGGTCCAGACCCCCTCGCGTCGTGAAAACAAGTATCCTGGCGAAGCACCCAACCATATGCAGTTGTGGGCACCGCAATTGTGAACATTTATTTTTACCCAACAGCGAAGATGGATAGGTTTCTAGTAGGGTCCAAGAAGAGCATCATTACGCCCCGGGGGGGTCTGGGCGCGATCCGGGGGAGGGTGCCGGGAACTTTTTTCCAGCCAACAGTTACACACTTCGTGGTCTTCGAGGTCCCAGAACTCCATTACGGGCCCACATTCAGAATGCCCGGAGCCAACTGTAGGCCACTTCGTGGTCTTCGAGTTCCCAGAACTCCATTCCCGGGCCACATTTTGAATGCCCAGAGCCAACTGTAGGCCACTTCGTGCTCTTCGAGTTCCCAGAACTCCATTCCCGGGCCACATATTGAATGCCCGGAGCCAACTGTAGGCCACTTCGTGGTCTTCGAGTTCCCAGAACTCTATTTCTGGGCATGATTTTGAATGCCCAGAGCCAACTGTAGGCCACTTCGTGTTCTTCGAGTTCCCAGAACTCCATTCACGGGCCACATTTTGAATGCTGAGGCAGGCTGATGCTGAGGCTGAGGCAGGCTGACTGAGGCAGGCTGAGGCTGAGGCCGAGGCTGAAGGCAGACTGATGCTGAGGCTGAAGCAGGCTGAGGCTGAGGCTGAGGCAGGCTGAGGCTGAGGCTGAGGCAGGCTGATGCTGAGGCAGGCTGAGGCTGAGGCTGAGGCTGATGCAGGCTGAGGCTGAGGCAGGCTGAGGCTGAGGCCGAGGCTGAAGGCAGACTGATGCGGAGGCTGAAGCAGGCTGAGGCTGAGGCTGAGGCAGGCTGAGGCTGAGGCAGGCTGAGGCTGAGGCTGAGGCTGATGCAGGCTGAGGCTGAGGCAGGCTGAGGCTGAGGCCGAGGCTGAAGGCAGACTGAGGCCGAGGCTGAAGCAGGCTGAGGCTGAGGCTGAGGCAGGCTGAGGCTGAGGCTGAGGCAGGCTGAGGCTGAGGCAGGCTGAGGCTGAGGCAGGGCTGAGCTGATGCAGACTGAGGCTGAGGTCGTGAAGCAGGCTGAGGCTGAGGCTGAGGCAGGCTGAGACTGAGGCTGAGGCTGAGGCAGGCTGAGGCTGAGGCTGGGGCTGATGCAGGCTGAGGCTGAGAGGCTGACGCTGAAGCTGAGGCAGGCTGAGGCTGAGGCTGAGGCTGAGGCTGAGGCTGAGGCTGAGGCAGGCTGAGGCTGAGGCTGAGGCAAGCTGATGCTGAGGCAGGCTGAGGCTAAGGCTGAGGCTGATGCAGGCTGAGGCTGAGGCAGGCTGAGGCTGAGGCCGAGGCTGAAGGCAGACTGAGACTGAGGCTGAAGCATGCTGAGGCTGAGGCAGGCTGAGGCTGGAGGCTGGAGCGGGCCAGAGGCTGAGGCTGAGGCAGGCTGAGGCTGAGGCTGAGGCAGGCTTGATGCTGAAGCAGGCTGAGGCTGAGGCTGAGGCTCATGCAGGGCTGAGGTGATGCGCCGGCCTGAGGCTGAGGCCGAGGCTGACGCAGACGGATGCAGAAGGCTGCACAGCTGAGGGCTGAGGCTTAAGCGGCTGAGGCTGAGGCAGCTGATGCTGAGGCAGGCTGAGGCTGAGGCTGAGGCTGATGCAGGCTGAGGCTGAGGCAGGCTGAGGCTGAGGCCGAGGCCGACGGCAGACTGAGGCTGAGGCTGAGGTAGGCTGAGGCTGAGGCAGAGGCAGTCTGAGGCTGAGGCTGAGGCAGGCTGAGTCTGAGGCAGGCTGAGGCTGAGGCTGAAGCTGATGCAGGGTGAGGCTGAGGCAGGCTGAGGCTGAGGCCGAGGCTAGCAGCAGGTCAGCTAGCGCTGAAGCAGGCTGAGGCCCGAGCTGATGCAGCTGAGGCTGAGGCTGAGGCTGAGGCAGCTGATGCTGAGGCAGGCGAGGCTGAGGCTGATGCTGATGCAGGCTTGAGGCCTCCCCCCGCCCCCCTGATTCAGGCTGAGGCTGAGGCCGAGGCCGACGGCAGACTGAGGCTGAGGCTGAGGTAGGCTGAGGCTGAGGCAGAGGCAGTCTGAGGCTGAGGCTGAGGCAGGCTGAGTCTGAGGCAGGCTGAGGCTGAGGCTGAAGCTGATGCAGGCTGAGGCTGAGGCAGGCTGAGGCTGAGGCCGAGGCTGAAGGCAGACTGAGGCTGAGGCTGAAGCAGGCCGAGGCTGAGGCTGAGGCAGGCTGAGGCTGAGGCAGGCTGAGGCTGAGGCTGAGGCAGGCTGAGGCTGAGGCTGTGACTGCGACTTCCGTTGCCACTGCGACTGCCATCGCGAATGCGACTACGACTGCGAGAACAACAGAATTCTACAACAGGATTCTCATCTGAATCTTAAAGGGAATGCTTCCAGATATGCTCCTACACATCGCTGTTAGGTTGCTTTGCCGGGATAATCTTCGGTGAAGCTCCTTATGGGGCCACGAAGCGCTGCACTGGGTGGGGGGAACGCATGCCAGCGGTAGCACTGGGGCCGTCGGTGGAGCCCCCTTGGGGCCACAAAGCGCTGTACTGGGTGGAGGGACGCATACGGGCGGTAGCACCGAGGCCTTCGGTGGAGCTCCCTATGGGGCCATTAAGCGCTGTGCTGGTTGGGGGGGGACGCATGCGGGCGGTAGCACTGGGCCCGTCGTTGGAGCTCCCTATGAGGCCATTCAGCGATGTACGGGTGGGTGGGGGGGACGCATGCGGGCGGTAGCACTGGGGCCGTCGGTGGAGCTCCCTATGCGGCCACGAAGCGCTGTACTGGGTGGGGGGACAGGCGGTAGACCTGGAACCTTCGGTGGAGCTCCCCGTGGCGCCACGAAACGCTGTACTGGGTGGGGGGGGGACGCATGCGGGCGGTAGCACTGGTAGCTCCCAATGGGGCCACGAGGCGCTGGTGTGGGGGGGGCGCATGTTGGCCGTAGCACTGACCTTCGGTGAAACTCCCTGTGGGGCCATAAAACGCTGGGTGGGGGGACGCATGCGGGCGGTAACACTGGGGCCGTCGTTGGAGCTCCCTGTGGGGGCACGAAACGCTGTACTGGGTGGGGGGGGCGCATGCAGGAGGTAGCACTGGGGCCGCCGGTGGATCTCCCTATGGGGCCACGAAGCGTTGTACTGGGTGGGGGGGCGCATGCGGACGGTGGCGCTGGTGCCTTCGAAACCTTGGACTGGGCGGCCAAAGTGGATGTTTCGAGACGCATGCGGACGGTGGCACTGGGGCCTTCGTTGGAGCTCCCTGTGGGGCCACGAAACGCTGAACTGGGTGGGTGAACATGCCAAACTAGGGCCTTCGGTGGAGCTCCCTATGGGGCCACGAAGCGCTGTACTGGGTGGGGGAAAACGCTCAAATGGATGTTTCGGGACGCATGCGGACGGTGGAGCTGGGGCCTTCGGTGAAATTCCCTATGGGGCCACGAAACGCTGTTCTGGGCTAGTGAACATACCAAATTGGATGTCGCGGGGCGCACGCGAACGATGGCACTGGGGCATCCGGTGGAGCTCCATGTGGGGCCACGAAGCGCTGTACTGGGTGGGTGGAAAGGCCAAAATTGATGTTTCGGGGCGTATCCGAACGGTGGCACTGGGGCCTTTGGCGGAGCTCCCTATGGGGCCACGAAGAATTGTGCTGGGTGGGTGAAAATGCTGAATTGGACGTTTCGAGACGCATGCGGATGGTGGCACTGGGGCCTTCGTTGGAGCTCCCTGTGGGACCACGAAACGCTGAACAGGGTGGGTGTAAATGCCGAAATGGACGTTTCAGGACGCATGCGGACGGTGGCACCAGGGCCTGCGGTGGAGCTCCATATGGGGCCACGAAGCGCTGTACTGGGTGGGTGGAAATGCAGAATTTGATGTTTCGGGGCGCGTTGGGACGGTGGCACTGGGGCCTTCGATGGAGGTCCCTGTGGGGCCACGAAACGCTGAACTGGGTGGGTGGAAATGCTGAATCAAATGTTTGAGAGAGCGCGCCCACAGGGCCCGAGCAAAGGGGAGGGGGGGCCAGGCTTAAGCTACCCCCCCCCTCCCTCGAGCCACCCTTGTTGGAAAGCCCCCCCCCCTCCCCCCCTTTTTCTTGCAGGGGGGGGGGGCTTACAGCTACCCCCCCTTCCCCCCTTGGGCCCTCCCCGGAAGCTACCCCCCCCTCTTCCCCCCCCTTTCCAAAGGGGGGGGCTTAAGCTACCCCCCCCCTTCCTTGGCGCTGCCCTGCGGGAAAAGCTCCCCCCCCTCCCCCCCTTTCGTGCAAAGGGCCCCCGGAAGCTACCCCCCCCCCCCTACCTCCCTTTCCAAATGAGGGGGGTGCTTCCAAGCTACCCCCGCCCTCCCTTGGAGCCGCCCTGCTGGAAGCTCCCCCCCCCTCCCCCCCTTTGTGCCAAAGGGGGGGGGGCTTGGAAGCCCCCCCCCTTCCCTCCTTTGGCCGCCCAGCCCCCGGAGCCTCCACGATCCACGATCGAGGAACAATCCACGATCGAGGATGGACGATCGAGGATGGACGATCCAAAATGAACAATCCACGATCGAGGATGGACGATCGACGATCAACGATCGACGATCGAAAATCCCAATCGAATCGCTTGCAATCGATTGCACTCCATTCCACTGCAATCCCCCTCCCCACCTCCCTCCGCTCCCTCCCCTCCCTCCCCACCCTTCGTTCCATCTCCTCCCTCCCCTCCCTCTCCTCCCCTCCCTCCCTTCCGTCCTGTCCCTCTCCTGCAATCCAATCGATTGAATCGTTTGCAATTCAACCGATTGCAATCCAATCGATTGCAATCCAATGGATTGCAATCGAATCGTTTGCAATCAGATGGATTGTAATCAATTTCCACGCAAGTGTATCATTCAACTCGTCCCGTGCCAACGCCCAGGAACGAAAAATTACCCTGGCGACGTACCCAACCCCTTCGCAAACGCGGGGCGCAAATAGTTTAGGACACTTTATAAAGGGGGCGATGACGGAGCGAGGGTTACATATGT